ATTATGTGTAACGACGCAATGGAATCAGGCGCTCGTCAATTTTGGGCATATGGAGATATTTGTATTATAAAATAGATTCTAAGCTTATTCATTTTCCTTGCTTTCGATGAAAAACAAAACACCCATCTTTCTTGAATTGAAGTCGAGATGTTAGCGATTGAAAGAGATGGAGTCACCTGTTTGTTTGTTGTTTGTTTTTTTTTTTGTTTTTTTTTTTTTTTGGGGGGGGGGGGGGGTTTGTGGCCAAATTAGCGAGAAAAATGGTCACCAAAGTTTGGTAGCTTCAATATTTTGATAGTCCTTGAGTACTGAAAAATTACATAATGTGAGCCTTTAATCAACGTTTTTCAGTAAACATCACAATAGGCCTGTATTTTCATGAGGGCATAAAGGGTGTTGATCCCAAAAACAAGAAGTGGATAAAATTGACAAAGTGGTTGGAAAATGCTTCTTTTTTCTGGGGGGGGGGGGTCGATTTCATTGTTTTGACGAGCGCCTGATTTCACCATGATCCCTCACAAATTAAAACAAAACAGAGCTGACAAGTGCAAGTCGTAAACTCAATACGTGGGTGGTTGGCGGGTGCTCTGGCCTAGTTTGCTCCTTCTTTCCTATCAAACATCTATCATCCTCATATTCTCCCCTCCTTCTTTTTTATGTTTGTTACTCTCTTGTAACACTTCTAAAATTTTGGCGCTCACATGACCTTATTATGCAGTTGCGAGCGCCGTAAAAACCTCTACTAAAACTAAAACTAACCGAACCCAATAGAGCGGAGTTTGTCTACACTACAACAAGATAGGTGGCCCAGTCGTCCCCCCCCCCCCCCCCACTCACTCTACTAAGCTGTCCCCGTCGTTTTAGGCAAGAAAAATTCTGAAAGTATGCAAACTGGGCCAAAAAATGCGAAATTATGCGATTCTGTTACTTTTAACAAAGAATTATAAAGGATAAAAATCAGAAATTATGCAAAAAAATTATCAAATTTTGCTAAATTAGGCGGGGTGCATAAAACCACGGGGTCAGACTAAATCAGCAGAGATAATGATTCCACGTTCTCCAGCAGCAGGTCTCAACAAGTCCTGATCCACCTGAAATGACCCTGGCTTAACAGCTGGGTTTTTTGTTGTTGTTTTTTTGTTTTTTGTTTTTTGTTTTTATAGACAGACGGGATCTCTGACCTGACGAGGTTGGATCTAGATCTAGTCCAAGTTTGTATCGTGACGAAAGAAATAAACAAAGGGGAAAGAAGAAATTGCTTGTCATAGTCAGTGTTATAAAAACAGTTTTTAAAAGCACAAATTTATTGAGGTACACGGATTTGTCTAGGCGTAAGGAATCGATTGTTTTGACAGAAATTTAAACTGAAGTAGACTATGATACACACACACACACACACACACACACACACACACACACACACACTCTCTCTCTCTCTCTCTCTCTCTCTCTCTCTCTCTCT